ATTTTGCCTTTTTCATCCTATTTCGTTACTTTATTTTGCCTTTTTTTATAGGTTTTTAGGTCCTAAAAATCCGTTCCCTGCTCATAACCAATATACTTATGTATGTACATTAGGGTGGTCCAAAAACAGTAACGTGGGAATTGTAATGCTCTCACCCCCTAGGATTTTTCTATATCGTATGAGTATAAGTATACTCATATTATTTTTATTTTTTTTTAAATCAAAAAATATTTAGAGGTCTCTCAAGCGCTCAAAGTTTTCCATGTATTTTTGTATGGGAAAAAACAACTTTTCGTAGAAATGGTATAGAATTCTTGAAAGTCAATATTTTTCGACCGGAAAACGCTGGTACTCTTTAGGAGACTTTCAATAATTCATTCATTTTTCATTCAGATAAGCAGAGTTTTCCGATAGAAAAATATTGATTCTTACGAAATCTATACCAAGTTGTTTTTCCCCATATAAAATATATGGAAAACTTTGGGCGCTTTGAGCGACCTCTAAATATTTTTTATTTCAAAATAAAAAAAATAGAGATATATATTTTTTTTTTTGTATAGAACAATCCCAGGGGGTGAGAGCATAAAACTTCCGACTTTACTGTTTCACATGCATTTTGGACCACCCTAATATACATACATACATCTGCTTTTGCTTAAGGTTGTATTTTTTGTCTTTTTTCTATCTAGCTCCCTACCTCTACCCTGTTCGTTCTAATTACATTTATGTTATTATGTTTTCCTTTGTACTAAGTTACCATGGCACGTAATTCGCTCTTCATTCGTAATTGGCTCTCTCATTCGTAATTGTCGCCCCAATTACCCTTCGATTTGCGTAATTCGCCATATAAAATTTTAAGAGGGAATTACTTCATTTGTAGGTAATTCAGATCCAATTACCATGTGAATTACGAACAAATCGCTGCCGCCTCTAACTTTAAGCGGAAATTTATCGCACTCAGCTGTCAGCTGCCCGTAATCCTGGTGGTTGCGTCGTCGTTCATTGTGCAGAATGCCGAATCGTCTATCTGCTCAGCCAAGTGTGTTCCCCTACTATCATTCGACAGGTTTGAGTGCCAAAGATCGTGGTGCGCGTTAAAGCCACCAAATGCCATACGGTATTCACCTCTGAGGAGCGCACCTATTTCGGGTTGATATCCTGTCGGGCAGCTGGAAACAGGGTGTTATATACGTTAAATATTTCGAGCTCGAGCGGATAGCAATATCCTGACATTCTAGGATGGTATCCCTGCGGTTGATGTTTGCTTCGATAGGACGATACTGCACGGTGTTATGCGTGATGAACGCTATCGATGTCGACGGTGCACGCTGTATCCGGCGCAATTCAACTGTATTGAATTGCCATGCAACTTCGTCTCTTGGGCCGCAGCTATTAATATATGGAATATTGACACTGACACTTTGTGGTAACCAACCACATTAAAAACAGTTATTCGCAGACTAATTCGTATGGTTTTATTTCATGTTTTGGTTTGTTTGACATTTGGTCTGTGACATCTCTCCAACACTTGTTGTTAAGTAAATATACGATACGGTATAACATTCTAGGAAATTCAGTTAATTCAAATGATAATGTATTCCGAACTTGAAGGTTTTTTTTTATGGAATGTTAAATTGAAAATTAAGGTTGAGAAAAATGAATAGGAAAGAAATAGTGAAAATATCGATATAAAATTAATGATCATATTGTAAACGCTCTGGAGCGCGCACTGTTCTTTTAGATCGGCGCAGTTCACCCTGGTTCTCTTTCGCTGGCTCCTCTCTTGTTTCTATTTATTGCTGTGTATTTGCAGCGAGGTCAGCCGGTTCGTCAAGCGTCGTTTCTGATGGCAGCGTAACTGTTTCAGCGGAGCTGCTTTCAATTTGCGTTTCCTTAAGGCTGTGCGGGCTTATTAGCTGCTCGCCGACTTTCCTAACCTGATCTAAATGTCTCTTCCATGTCCGACCGTCATCGAGCTATATATTAAAGTGTAGGTCTCCAATTGCTTCGGATACTGCCCCAAATTGCCATTTTCTGCTAAACAAATAATCGCGTATAGCCACTCTCTCACCTAACTTAAAGTGTTTTGGCGGAAGTTTTCGTTCCGTAGCAGAGATTGCATTTTGTGGAAGCATCAGATCTAATCGCGATTGAATTTGGCGACCAAACATTGCCATGGCTGGCGATTTTTTTGTAACCGGATGATTTGCTCTACGATACGCCAAGAGGATTGTTGATAGGTCTCGATGCATCGTCCTTGGTTGGGTGTTCATGGACATGAGTTTAGCTTTAAACGTTTGAACAAACCGCTCAGCTTGGCCATTTGTAGCCGGATGATATGGCGCACCTTGTTTGTGAACAACCCCATTCCTCTTCAAAAAATTCTGGAATTCCTTTGAGTTGAATTGAGTGCCGTGATCACTCACAAAAACGTTCGGTATGCCAAAAGTCGTAAATATATTTGTAGGTAAACCCTTCTGCGGCGAAAAAATTTGCGCAATTGCTTTATTGTCAGTCACCAGTATAAATTTGTTTCCGAAAATATATTGATAAAATTTACGTACGCCGAAAGTAATCGCGTATGCTTCTCTATCCACTTGGCTGTACCTTTGTTGAACTTTGTTTAATGTTTGCGAGGCAAATTGAATCGGTTTCTCTGTTCCATCTGCATACAAACGGCTTAAAACTGCACCTGGGGCTAGCGTCTACCGCCAATACTACGGGTAATTGTGGGTCGTAGTGCGCTAACACCGTATCCGATTGCATTTGCTTTTTTATATCGCAAAACGCTTTTTTGCAATTCGAGTCGACCACAAATGGCACATTGTTTTGCAGCAAGCGATTTAGTGGATATACGATATCGCTCAAATTTTCGATAAATCGGTCATAATAATTAATTAAGCCTAGAAAAGCAAGTACCTTATCTTTCGTCGACGGTTGCTTCATACCCTGGATAGCCTCCATTTTGTTCTTCAGCTTACGGATTCCGCCTTTGTCTATTTTATATCCGCAATACTCAATGCAATCCTTCAAAAACTCTGCCTTGTCGAGGTTGACCCGCATATTATGTTTGTCCAGTCTACGTAGCACTTCATTTATGCGCTGCAAATGTGTACCAATGTCGCCGGCAGTGATTTTGATGCCATCTAGAAATACCTTAACGCCAGGCAAATCTCCGAGTAACTGCTCCATGAACCTTTGTCATTTTGCAGGTGCGCATGCTATGCCAAACATCATGCGTGTTGGCTGATAGGGCCCTTTATGCGTGTTGATTGTGAGCAAATGCCTTTTATCCGGGTGTACTTCCAACTGTAGGTACGCTTTAGAGAGGTCAATTTTAGTGAACTGAACGCCTCCTGCCATCGTGCTTAAAAGTTCGTCGATGGTCGGCAGCGGATGCTCATCGACCACTAACTCTGGATTTAGTGTGACTTTATAGTCACTACATATCCGCACGGCACCGCCGCTCTTTGGCACAACCACTATCGGTGTTGCCCACTTCAACCTGTCGACTCTCACTAACAGCCCCTCTTCAACCTGTCTTTGCAGTTCGCGCTCAACTGCTTTCCAAAGTGGGAACGCGACTCGCCTTGCTTTCAAAAATTTCGGCACTGCATTCTCCTTTAGGTATAATCTCGCTTGGTAGCCCGTTATTTTTCCAACAGTGGGTGAAAACAAATTCGGGTAGTTCTTTAAGATTTTCTCCAAATATTCGTCTGAAGTTGTCGTACCTATGGCTTTAACATTGCCATCCTCCCTAAGTTGGGCCTGTAGTAATTTAGACCAGTTTAACTTTATGGAATGCATCCACTCTCTACCGAGCAAAGGCTTGCGATTTGATCGTACGATAAACATTTTTACCTTAGCTGACGGGTCTGCCATCGCTGTTACCCAAATATAACCTAGACACTCTAGCGGTGTGTTGCAGTAACTGACCAGCTGTACGTCAGTCGGAATGACGAGCAATTTCGCAAAATGCTTCTTTGCGTAAGCTAAGCTTATAATCGTGACAGGCGCTCCAGTTTCTATTTCGAACTCTATCAATGCATTGTTTACCGGCAGCTTGCAAGTTGGCTTGGCGCGATTCTTTGCGCCTCCGGTAGCTGCTGCTATCGAACACGATGCGTCCTCGATCTGGAATAACTCCTCCACTGCACAATCATGTAGTGCCTCCTCAGAAATCTGATTTACAGATTTTTTTCTTATTTACACATTTTCCTTAAGTGTCCCTTCTTTTTACAGAAATAACAAGTTGTCTCTTTGTGAGAGCATTGAAAGGCCAAATGTTCTGCGCTGCCACATCGGTAACATTTTGTTCCTTTATTTTCAGAAGCTGTGTTTAGTGTTAGTTTTTTTGTTCTCTTCTCTTTCTTTTTGTGATGCACTTTGTTGACAGTTTCTACACCCGCTGCTCCCGCACTTTGGTGTAGCTCTACTCCCACGACAGTCGGGTCTACGTAACAGGAAAAACCCAGATTTATATCTGGCCAAGGACTGTCACTCCAGCAACACTCTTCAAAATCTCTTTGGGGGAATATGTATGCTCTTACAACAACAGCAACCACCCAAAACCTTCCAGGAAAGGGCACGGTGGATGTTCTTAGCAATAGCCACTTTCAAGCAGTTTTTTAAGGATCACACCATTCTAGTAGCCAAGGAACGCTGGAACAATTTTCACCTTGCGAAATTTTCAGGAGTACCTGGTATTTCTATAAAAGGAAACGCTTACGGGCCACTTACTAATGTGGAATCAAAACCATGTAAGACCGAATCGAAATAGTTACCAAACTGAAAAATAAATTACCAAATTACCAAACTTGATAAATAAAGAAAAAAATTACCAACTTTGGTTAAAAATTACCAAAGCGGCAACGCTGATCACAACACAATTCAATAGACAACACCACAGATCAACAGACCGCACCATAGACACAACCGCACCACCATCGACACGTCGCCGCCAACATCTCCTGATTCCTCCGATAATCTGCTCGGTGTGCCAGACCAGGATATTCCGTAAAGTGACATCAGTCAAGTGAAACACTTGCCTTGGCTGGTGTCACTTTAGGGCATGTTCAGGACTGCACACCATGCGAGATTAGACGAGGGACTATGAGGGCCCGTGCCGTTCTGCCCAGTTACAAGTGCCAACTGCGACGTCGCCCACCACCAACAGAGGGCAGCAGCCTGTACAGCAGCATCCACAGCAAGTGGCAGGCAGGCAACACACCTAGCTCTCATCCCACATTCCAATAAGTTTCCCTAGGTACACGAATATTTTACAATTCAACTGTAACGGACTACAGAGCAAGATCCAGGATATAACAGTATTCATGTGTGTCATAGACCAAATGTCAAACAAAACAAAACATGAAATAAAACCATACGAATTAGTCTGCGAATAACTGTCTTTTAATGTGGTTGGTTACCACAATTCTGGCAACGAGTAAAAAAAAAACGAACACGTTAAAAATCGGAGGTTAAGTAGGAGCGATGCCCCTTAATGAACGTGAATCGAGAACTGGAGCAGAAGCGGGTGCCGGAATAGAAGCGCAGCCTCATATAGTGACTCCAATGGCTGCATTCCACTTTGATGCGTTCGATGGGAAAAAGGTGGTGCTTAATGGACCTTGTTTTTTTTGTTTTTTAATAAAGACTTAAATATATTCGGAAATTTAGAATTTTGCTTGATAAATTCACAAAATTTACGTTTTTCATAAAAATATAATCTTACAATGGACCTTTTTTTTAGTTTTAAACTTACCTTTAAGAAAACTGCATTCAGTGCTATAATTACGATTTGAGTTTTCCAGTTTATAAAACACAAGCGTTAATTATGTACTTAACTATTGATATTATTCTTCATTAAGCATGAATGTCAGCATACGTTAAAGATGAATATTGTATTGACTGCATCCAATAAAGTGAGATCTTTCTTTTCAAGCAATCGGCTTTGAATTCTTTTGCTTCTAAGTCCAAACACGAATTGATTGCGAAGCGCTGTGTCGGAGTAATTTCCAAAATTACACACTGCAGCTAAACTGCGAAGTGCAACCAAAAATTCACTGCAAGATTCCTCCGATTTTTGTTTGCGAAGATGAAATCGGTAATTTTCAAGAATTTCGTTACCTTTCGGGTTAAAGTTGTCTTCTAAAACCTGGACAATGTTTTCATATGACATGTCCTCCGGAACTATGGGTAGAACATTGTCGCAGAGAAAATCATAGGTCGCCGTTCCCATGTAGTGTAACAATATCTGGCGCTTCTTAGTTGAGTCTGCATTGAAAATCAATAACGCCGTCTCGAATCGTTTTACCCAACGACTCCACGTTGTCTTTTTCCCATCGAACGCATCAAAGTGGAATGCAGCCATTGGAGTCACTATATGAGGCTGCGCTTCTATTCCGGCACCCGCTTCTGCTCCAGTTCTCGATTCACGTTCATTAAGGGGCATCGCTCCTGCTTAACCTCCGATTTTTAACGTGTTCGTTTTTTTTTTTACTCGTTGCCAGAATTGTGGTAACCAACCACATTAAAAGACAGTTATTCGCAGACTAATTCGTATGGTTTTATTTCATGTTTTGTTTTGTTTGACATTTGGTCTATGAAACACATGAATACTGTTATATCCTGGATCTTGCTCTGTAGTCCGTTACAGTTGAATTGTAAAATATTCGTGTGCCTAGGGAAACTTATTGGAATGTGGGATGAGAGCGAGGTGTGTTGCCTGCCTGCCACTTGCTGTGGATGCGGCACTTGTAACTGGGCAGCACGGCACGAGCCCTCATAGTCCCTCGTCCAATCTCGCATGGTGTGCAGTCCTGAACATGCCCTAAAGTGACACCAGCCAAGGCAAGTGTTTCACTTGACTGATGTCACTTTACGGAATATCCTGGTCTGGCACACCGAGCAGATTATCGGAGGAATCAGGAGATGTTGGCGGCGACGTGTCGATGGTGGTGCGGTCTGTTGATCTGTGGTGTTGTCTATTGAATTGTGTTGTGATGCGGTAGTGTTTGTGTGAATCCGAGTTTTCTGGTACGTAGAACCGGTTGTCGTGGGAATGCAAAGAAGGGATTTGTGGCGCCACTGTCAGAAAATTCATCCACCATGACGAAATGTCCGATAACGGCCTGAGGCTCATCGATATCACCAGGGCCCGAACATGCTAGTATGAAGTACTAGGTTCCAGCATAAAAAGATCTATCAAGCTACATGGCTATCACCAGATCGAAAAACAAGAAACCAAATCAAGCATGTTATGATAGATGGAAGGCACGCTTCCTGTGTTTTAGACGTACATATGTACACTGGGCCAACCATCGATTCCGACCACTATCTTCTTGCAGCCAAGATGCGCGACCGCCTCTGTGCAGCAAAAATGTACGCCCAGCAATTCAAGGAAAGCTCAACGTCGAAAAGCTGCAACAACAACAGACCACGAGTCGAATCGGAACATCCGTTCACGGATCGAAAACCCTACGAAACAAAATTACGTGATACGTCAGTCATATAAGCAGAATGGGACAATGTTCGTGTATGTCATAATCCGAAAAATGTGTTTTTACGTGACGAGTAAAACGATATCGTCGTAGGCGACTTACGGAATTTTTCAAGACCGGGACGAACTTCTGTAAGAACAACCATGGCAACTAGGAATGTTATTCCCGAGATCCCGGGATAACGGACTTTTTATTTATTTATTTATTTAATGTCTAAAGTTATATGTGGTACAGACATTATGAAAAAGTTCCAAGCTATATATTTTAGTTACAAATTGAAAACGTAAAAAGAACAAGAGTAGAATACAATAAAGGCTATTCTAAATTTTTACACAATAAATAGTTTTTCACTCTATTGTAGATAATTGATTTTGATTCCGACAAGTCAAGATCCAAAAATTTCATGAAACAGTTGTACTCATTCAAAGCGCTAACAATGGGGGAATTTGCATTTTATTTAAACCAATACGAAAAGTATCAAAGCGACGAAGGTTTCTACTCGGCACAGTAAAATCCATCAACCCAAGAAGGGACGAGCAGTCGACTTTACCCGATACGATGTCGAGAAGAAATGGCATAGACAGTAGTGAGCGTCTATTATTTAATGTTAATAAGCTAATCAATTGGCAACGCGACTCATATGGTGGAATATTTTTTGCACTCTCTCCAGACGATTGATGTGAATAGCGTGATACGGTCTCCAGATAAACGCAGCGTATTCCAGTTTAGACCGTACAAAGGCAGTGAACAAAGTCTTAAGTGTGTACGGGTTCGAAAATTGCGAAGAATGTCGTCTAGCGAAAGCTAGCATAGCAAGAGAGTTTGAGATGGTGTAATTTATATGCGCATTAAAATTAAACCTTGAATCAAAAAACACTCCCAGGTCTTTAATGACTTCAACCGATTCGAGAAAGGTGTTAGCTAAATGGCTCAAAGTGCACAGAGGTTTACGCAGTTTAGAGAACGTAGCTTTGTAGCATTTATTGATGTTAAGGAAGAGATGATTCTTTGCACACCAATTATAGAACTTATTGAGTTCTGGTTGAAGATTGAACGAGTCGCTGTGACATCTAACCTCAGAGTATTCTTTTAGGTCGTCCGCGTATATAAGAATCCGAGCTGAAGATAAACACGACGATACAACATTTATAAAAAGAATGAAAAATAATGGACCCAAAATGCTACCCTGCGGAACTCCAGAGGTTGCAATAAATGGTTTCGATGAGACACCACCAATAACAATACTAGAACTCCTACTATCCAAGTACGACTTGATCCAATCCAAAAAAATAGAATGAAAACCAAAATTAGCTAGTTTAACCACCAATAATTTGTGGAAAATCTTATCGAAGGTTTTGGAGAAATCGGTGTAAATCACATGAACCTCGTAGCCAGTTAATGTGGACCTGACCGCCTGGTTATTAGAGTGGTTTCGACGAATGTTATTCAAATCTACATCAAGAACGGCATCATCAGTCGCAAAATTAGATGAGAAGAAGTCAGCGAACAAGTTAGATGCTTAACTCACGGAGGATGCAGTGACGCCTTTATAAAAAAACATCCTAGACTGAATATAATTCCAAAAATTCTTTGGGTTATCTTTGATATTCAATTCCAAGTTACGAATGTAGTCATTATATAAGTCCTTATTTAACAAAGAGAACTTATACTTATAAGAAATACACAAATCATAAAAATGCCGATTATTGGATAACTTGTATTTCTTAAAGTACTTGTTCCTCAAATTTTTTAAATGCTTGAGCTTAGTCGAGTGCCACGGAAGCTGATATTTTTTCCGCGAATAAACAGGCACAACTTTAGAGCAGACTTCAGTTATAGAGCTTTTAAAAATTTTACCATCCACTTCACTCTCACCGAACAAAACGTCCCAATCAAATTCACTGAAAACATAATCTAACATGTCAAAATCACTACGAGCGTAATTAAACAATCTTGATTTTACGGTAGGATAATCAAAAAACTCTTAAAATTCGACTACCAACAAAACAGGCGAGTGATGCAAGTTAGGCGGCGAGATTGAAGAGGCAGGTTGCGATAAATTAGAATGTAAGCCATTACTAACAAATATCAAGTCTAGAAAGCGATTGAAACAATTATACAAGCCATTGACCTGAACTAATCCTATCCCCAGTAAATTATCAATAAAGTAAGATTCATAAGAACTATTAATATTCGAGGGTGTTAAAAATGCGTCATTATTCAAAAAATGCCAATTTAGGTTACTTGAATTAAAGTCTCCAAGAACACACAATTGGTCATTACAAACGACACGGTTAATGGCAATCACATTTTCGACGTGGGCTCTGTATAAAGCATCATTACTAGCTGGAGGTATATAAGAGGTGCAGAGATAGATAAAGCCATGGGCACCACGCAAGCGAACGCAAAGTTGGTCGAGGAGCGTATCTTCATTCTACAGAGGGATAGTAATAGGTTGGAGGTTACGGTTACATCGTACGGCCATCAGCATACCGCCTACTCTGCTAAGTCCAATCTTATTAACGTCCCTGTCCTTGCGGAATACAGTGAAGCTTCATATCAAAAAATTCAGCATCAGAAAAATGTGTGTTAAGCCAGGACTCAGTAGTGACAAAAAATCATATTCCAAAAGAGAACTAAGCATTCGAACAACGTCAGATTTGCCTCTAAGCCCAGAAGTGTTATGATAGTAAATCTTAATATTGTTATGTATGCACCTAGGCGATGACCTAACTAATCTTGCGGCGGTTGTTTCCCGTCTTTTTGAAAAAACCGGAACGGACAGATGGTCACCTTAGCCGGCCATAACTCTGGCTTCTGCACTTTCTCGTAGTTATCACCACTAACACCAAGCTTGAAGTTGACTTATTTCAACGAACCCATATCGACATCCTTATTTACTAATATATAGCATGCTACTAATTTCACGTCTATATTAACGTGTTTCGCAACATAATCGATAATGTTAGCAGCAGAGACTGTGTTCCGAAAAGAGGACACATGCAGCCACTTAAAGCGGCGTGTTACAGGTGCTACATCAGCAACGTCAAGTTCACCACAATCATTGGTCCCAACCACAGTATATACAGTAATAAACCTTTTCGCAGTTTTTCACCATTTGGTCCCCGAGGAGTACTTTTGGGTTGTGTGCAGCATTTTCGGTTTGCGCGCACGGCAACACTTACTGTGGGGAATTTCGCCTCATGATTAGAAAAAGTTCTTTTCGAGGATAAAATATACATAATTATGTGTTATTTATGAACAAAATGTAGGTTAAGTATAATATTCATCTTTAACGTATGCTGACATTCATGCTTAATGAAGAATAATATCAATAGTTAAGTACATAATTAACGCTTGTGTTTTATAAACTGGAAAACTCAAATCGTAATTATAGCACTGAATGCAGTTTTCTTAAAGGTAAGTTTAAAATTAAAAAAAGCTCCATTGAAAGATTATATTTTTATGAAAAACGTAAATTTTGTGAATTTATCAAGCAAAATTCTAAATTTCCGAATATATTTAAGTCTTTATTAAATAAATAATATAAAAAAACTTTTTAATATACAACGCTTTTATAAATGGACTATAATATTTCTCAGTCCCATAGAATTTGTTTTGATAACTTTTGATTTTGAAATTTTAGCAAAAGTCATTATAAACAATCTATGAAATTTAAAATGAATAAATAATATAAAAAAAACTTTTTAATATACAACGCTTTTATAAATGGACTAAAAAGTAGAAAATAATACTTCTCAGTCCCATAGAATTTGTTTTGATAACTTTTGATTTTGAAATTTTAGCAAAAGTCATTATAAACAATCTATGAAATTGAAAATGAAAAACGTGGAGCGCATGCTATACAAAGCATTCGATTTAATTGACAATAGTCAAACTACATAACGTAGACCTAAAATTTCTACAGCGAAAGTAGAACTTTGAAATCGAT